GTCGATCCTATCTTGATAGAAAAACTTACATTGTAGTTGCTCTTAGGTTTAACTGCGAGAATGCAAACAGTTAGATAACCGTTAGTCAATCCCAAAATAGATGTCAATATTATCATCCAGCCTTGATCTGCATTTTTTGCAGTGAAGTAAAAAGCCGGGACAAACAAGAAACGCATAAGCACGCATGCAGTGATCCATTTTTTTGATTCAATTTTCAGGTACTTGATTAGAGGAATATATCTTGAAAGAGCATCCCATCCGTTATACGAAGCAACAAGTACAAGAGAGTACCTATATGTTGAGAAAACACAAAAATTGTAGCAAAAATAAGATCAACAATTGGATAAAGAAATAAAGAAAATATCAAAAATATTATGTCATATCTTTTCGATGAATTTGTATCCACCACAAAGATTATTATCAAATTAATGTTAATAAGAATATATACCATGAACCGAGCTCATGTTCTCCTGTGTTCTCATACAAAAATCCAGGAAATATTGACAATGTCAAGACGTGGATTAGGAAAAGATTGATTGCGAGGTCCATGTTTTGATAGAGCAATTCTTTGTTGCTTAACCGCACGATTCTTGTTTCTTCTGCTTCTAAATGGTTTGATTTGGCCTTCACATAATAATACTTCACTATTTGTAGCTTCGGAAATATGTGTATGTAGAGAACCATGCAAACAAACTCGATCGAAATCGAAAATGCTAAGAATAAAACTGCAATTGATCTTGAATTAGATTATATTTAAGTATTTCAAAGTATTCATGCAAACATATGCTAATTATAAATAGGGGAAATAGAAGTACATGGAGTGACATACAAGCGCCTTTCCGTAGACCGTTAGGAGATTTATCAAATATTGCTTTGGTAAGAAGTCTCAAAGCAGATGTTATAGCTCCGGCCATGCCTAGACCCGCAGAGAATGACTTAAGAAAAAAAGTTTTAAATCTTAGTTAGAAATAATGATAAATAAAAAAATGTGGCCACACAATTTTATTAAAAAAAACCTGAATAAACTCGGGGCACATGAAAGATAGTTCTCCAACCATGGCACCTTCTACATGAGCATTCCCTATCCCAAAACATGCAACAACCGAACATAACAATATGTATGCTGATAAACCTCCTTCTCCTTTGGTAGCCAAGTCTAACTATTAAAATTAAAAGAACACAAAATTATATGGCTGTATTATTGAATGGATGAATTTTTGCGAATAAATTGAAAACTTACAATCATCAAAAGAAGAGTGCCGATAGAAAAAATGGCATAACCGGTCATAATCCGCTTTTGGTTTTTGTTAGTTTTTCCCATGAAAATCAAGATGAACATAGTTCCAAGGACAAACGGTTGATAAACTAGAGTAAGAACTCTCGACGGATGATACTCCTTTGATCAATTAAGATTCATTGAAATAAAGAAAGAAAATGTTAGAACATTACACAATGGCAGATCTAGAAACTGAGCTTTAGAAATATTCT